ACACTATCTCACACTCTCCTTCCCAAACACACTCACTCACGCACTCACTCACGCACTCACTGACTCAATCAAACAATCTATCAACCAATCAATAAATCAGACAATACCACACTAACTCACACACACACACACACACACGAACACAAATTAATTCACATCCATCACATCGAGTGCACTATATGCAATCCACCAAATCACCAGTAGTATCAGTTCTGTGCACAACTAACTCAAACACATCTCACACAAACAACACTGCCTACATTGCATACACACAATCAACTAACACACTCACCTGTTGTACTCTCCGTCAACATAACCTCAGTTCCCGTAGTGTCGGTCTCCGTAATCTCGGTCTCCGTCGTCACTTCGTTCGTGCCAGTAGTGGTCTCAGCTACAATGGACGAAATCCAACACCAATAATTAATCAATCAATCAATCAATTAATCAATCCATCGATCAATCTGTCAAATAGATTAAACCTTCAACAATCCAAACATTCGTTCAACCACTCCTACAAACACTCGTACAAACACTCGCACAACCACTCATCAAAACATTCAACCAATCAGTCTCCCATGCATTCTCTCCATCAACAATTCAATCCACTTGTCCAACTACTAAGTCAACACAACACACATTATCATTCACAGACACACACATTCAAACACTATCTCACACTCTCCTTCCCAAACACACTCACTCACGCACTCACTCACGCACTCACTGACTCAATCAAACAATCTATCAACCAATCAATAAATCAGACAATACCACACTAACTCACACACACACACACACACACGAACACAAATTAATTCACATCCATCACAGCGAGTGCACTATAAGCAATCCACCAAATCACCAGTAGTATCAGTTCTGTGCACAACTAACTCAAACACATCTCACACAAACAACACTGCCTACATTGCATACACACAATCAACTAACACACTCACCTGTTGTACTCTCCGTCAACATAACCTCAGTTCCCGTAGTGTCGGTCTCCGTAATCTCGGTCTCCGTCGTCACTTCGTTCGTGCCAGTAGTGGTCTCAGCTACAATGGACGAAATCCAACACCAATAATTAATCAATCAATCAATCAATTAATCAATCCATCGATCAATCTGTCAAATAGATTAAACCTTCAACAATCCAAACATTCGTTCAACCACTCCTACAAACACTCGTACAAACACTCGCACAACCACTCATCAAAACATTCAACCAATCAGTCTCCCATGCATTCTCTCCATCAACAATTCAATCCACTTGTCCAACTACTAAGTCAACACAACACACATTATCATTCACAGACACACACATTCAAACACTATCTCACACTCTCCTTCCCAAACACACTCACTCACGCACTCACTCACGCACTCACTGACTCAATCAAACAATCTATCAACTAATCAATAAATCAGACAATACCACACTAACTCACACACACACACACACACACGAACACAAATTAATTCACATCCATCACATCGAGTGCACTATATGCAATCCACCAAATCACCAGTAGTATCAGTTCTGTGCACAACTAACTCAAACACATCTCACACAAACAACACTGCCTACATTGCATACACACAATCAACTAACACACTCACCTGTTGTACTCTCCGTCAACATAACCTCAGTTCCCGTAGTGTCGGTCTCCGTCGTCACTTCGTTCGTGCCAGTAGTGGTCTCAGCTACAATGGACGAAATCCAACACCAATAATTAATCAATATATCAATCAATCAATCAATCAATTAATCAATCCATCAATCAATCATCACATCAGTGCTTCAATCAATCAGTCGATCATTCAACAAATCAACAAATCAACAAATCAATCAATCAATCCATCGATCAATCTGTCAAATAGATTAAACCTTCAACAATCCAAACATTCGTTCAACCACTCCTACAAACACTCGTACAAACACTCGCACAACCACTCATCAAAACATTCAACCAATCAGTCTCCCATGCATTCTCTCCATCAACAATTCAATCCACTTGTCCAACTACTAAGTCAACACAACACACATTATCATTCACAGACACACACATTCAAACACTATCTCACACTCTCCTTCCCAAACACACTCACTCACGCACTCACTCACGCACTCACTGACTCAATCAAACAATCTATCAACCAATCAATAAATCAGACAATACCACACTAACTCACACACACACACACACACACGAACACAAATTAATTCACATCCATCACAGCGAGTGCACTATAAGCAATCCACCAAATCACCAGTAGTATCAGTTCTGTGCACAACTAACTCAAACACATCTCACACAAACAACACTGCCTACATTGCATACACACAATCAACTAACACACTCACCTGTTGTACTCTCCGTCAACATAACCTCAGTTCCCGTAGTGTCGGTCTCCGTCGTCACTTCGTTCGTGCCAGTAGTGGTCTCAGCTACAATTGACGAAATCCAACACCAATAATTAATCAATATATCAATCAATCAATCAATCAATTAATCAATCCATCAATCAATCATCACATCAGTCCTTCAATCAATCAGTCGATCATTCAACAAATCAACAAATCAACAAATCAATCAATCAATCCATCGATCAATCTGTCAAATAGATTAAACCTTCAACAATCCAAACATTCGTTCAACCACTCCTACAAACACTCGTACAAACACTCGCACAACCACTCATCAAAACATTCAACCAATCAGTCTCCCATGCATTCTCTCCATCAACAATTCAATCCACTTGTCCAACTACTAAGTCAACACAACACACATTATCATTCACAGACACACACATTCAAACACTATCTCACACTCTCCTTCCCAAACACACTCACTCACTCACTCACTCACGCACTCACTGACTCAATCAAACAATCTATCAACCAATCAATAAATCAGACAATACCACACTAACTCACACACACACACACACACGAACACAAATTAATTCACATCCATCACAGCGAGTGCACTATAAGCAATCCACCAAATCACCAGTAGTATCAGTTCTGTGCACAACTAACTCAAACACATCTCACACAAACAACACTGCCTACATTGCATACACACAATCAACTAACACACTCACCTGTTGTACTCTCCGTCAACATAACCTCAGTTCCCGTAGTGTCGGTCTCCGTCGTCACTTCGTTCGTGCCAGTAGTGGTCTCAGCTACAATGGACGAAATCCAACACCAATAATTAATCAATCAATCAATCAATTAATCAATCCATCGATCAATCTGTCAAATAGATTAAACCTTCAACAATCCAAACATTCGTTCAACCACTCCTACAAACACTCGTACAAACACTCGCACAACCACTCATCAAAACTTTCATCCAATCAGTCTCCCATGCATTCTCTCCATCAACAATTCAATCCACTTGTCCAACTACTAAGTCAACACAACACACATTATCATTCACAGACACACACATTCAAACACTATCTCACACTCTCCTTCCCAAACACACTCACTCACGCACTCACTCACGCACTCACTGACTCAATCAAACAATCTATCAACCAATCAATAAATCAGACAATACCACACTAACTCACACACACACACACACACGAACACAAATTAATTCACATCCATCACAGCGAGTGCACTATAAGCAATCCACCAAATCACCAGTAGTATCAGTTCTGTGCACAACTAACTCAAACACATCTCACACAAACAACACTGCCTACATTGCATACACACAATCAACTAACACACTCACCTGTTGTACTCTCCGTCAACATAACCTCAGTTCCCGTAGTGTCGGTCTCCGTAATCTCGGTCTCCGTCGTCACTTCGTTCGTGCCAGTAGTGGTCTCGGCTACAATGGACGAAATCCAACACCAATAATTAATCAATATATCAATCAATCAATTAATCAATCCATCAATCAATTATTCAATCAATCTATGATGACGTCAATCAATCCATTAGTCACTCCTTCTTTGAATCATACCTCCATACGATCATACATTAATTCTTTGGGACCAGGTTTTCACGAATACGTACTTTCTTGTCTTTTGTGATTTGTTTATTTTTATTTTTTTTATTTTGCTCTACTTTCGCTCTTTCTCTTGTTTTAATTTTTCTCTGATTTGTCAGTTCGTTTCTTTCATGTTTCTGTTTTCTTCTTTCTATGTTTTCCCAAATTTTTGTGTCTTTGAATTCAGTACACTTTTATTCAACTTCAGAATTGTTAATGTTTTCAAAATAGTTCAGCGATTTATCGAACTTCATTTTCTCTCGATGTTTCTATCTACAGTTTCTTCCTTACATGTAAATCACACGGTCACATTTTCATTTTCAATTGATGTTTCGTCAATTTAGTGATTGTTCTACTATTTACCATTTGTTTTTATTCTTTGGTAGTTGATCCTCACTATTTCTGATTTTACATTTGAAGCAATCTCCTTGTACTTTCGACATAAAAGCAGATAATGAGGAACGCGAACTTGATTATGGATGAATTTCCATTACTGCCCGAAATGTCGTTTATCTACTTGTAGTAATTTAGCGTTTGTTAATTTCTTCCACGTGAAGCATAACTCGCTGCTTTCACTATGTGTTTTCATACATACACATCATCTTAATTCGTTCTTAATATAACTATTCGATTTATCAATCGTTCTTATCTACTTTTTTAAATGTACTGCCTTACATTCCGACACCCTGATTACTCGTGACATCTTTAATTTTATGTCATATGGGGACCTTACACATACTTCAAACATCTCTGCGTTGTCGCGAATACTGATATATGATATTTTGGATTTTTCTAACTAATTTACTGTCACTCCATATTCTTTTATCTGAGAAAGATTATCTCAATAATACTTCAGTCAAAATTACTGGTCGAAGAATCAACTCACAAAAGTGAATATTCAGAGTATTTTACTCGTACAATTTGCAATCTTAAGACATAAGTTCTCGCGTATATTATCGACTCAGGGAAAAAATTGCAAACCACTTACTTACCCGTAGTCTTGTTATCTTCGGTATTCTGGGATTCAGTGATCACCTCAGTGGTTGCCACATCGATTACAGCTGAAAATACAATGAGAAACGTGTATCTATTCACGTCACAAAAAGCTGAGTATACATGACAATTAATCCTGATTATGATTAGCTGCTAGCCATGGCAGGCGACTAGGTATTTGACAGTAAATGAAGTCGAGACACTTTCGCTGCAGATGGTTTGCAAGTGATGGAGTTGTTTTTCAAACTTGTGAACAATTCCATTTCCTCGTTGATCGAACACTGAACATTCCATTTCGTCGTGTGTTGTGATCTCACCAACTGTAAGACTCTTTAAAATGTAAACGGAATTCTATATCAAACAGCATATATGGAAAGGTCCTATACAAGTGACTGAGGATAAGACAGATTTCTATTGTCTCTCTAGAACAACAAATTTGAAATAGGACCAAACAGTTTCATGAACTAAAATTAAGAGCATCTAATAGATGATCACATCATACATGCATGCTAATTGTTATGCAGGTGATATTTAACGTGAGAAATAATCAGTTGAATCCTACAACGTTCGCTTCCGGTGTCGGAATCCCCTATCATCAACTTCCAAGATGCATTGAGAACGTGGCGCTCAACTCGCAGGATAAACTGGTTTACTCAACCGACGTTAAACACAAAATTCAATTTCAATATAGCTCGAAAATATCACATGCACTCACTTTCTACTGTCAAGCCACTTGATGTATCGAAGTACACTTGCTCCGACCCATTGGCAACCATTTCTGCTATGTATGCCACAACAGCATTTTGAACAGTGTCTTTTGTCACTTCAGTCGATGAGAAATTCCCACTTGTGCTACTATGGTCGATGACTAATACTGCATTTCCAACAACTGATCCACGCGAGAAGCCAACAACTGTGCAATTAACATTGATTATTCCCTCAATATTAGTTGAATATATGCTGTCCAAAAGCTTGAAGATTTTGTGAGAAGAAAATCGTGCGTGTTATAACGGGATGAATATTGTAAAAGTTGGAAATTTGGAAAATGGTTTTTGAATTGTTATCATGAATATTGTTATTGCTATCAACTATGTTTTTCTTATATAATTACTAAGCAACTGGATTACTGTGTCTATATAATACGTTAACCACAAGCTTTTGGTTAACCCGTTAACCACTGATAGACAACTCTCCACTCCCAGATTTTTGCCAGTCTACTACTTACGGCTTGCATTATTCACAAACACTTTCGGCTTGTCTATGTATGCTTGTGATTTTTCACTCAGTGGTGCGATGTGGTCCAGCACGACTGTATATGATTCCACGTATGCCTGAAGTATAAGAATGATAGAGGCCGTCTGTTGACTTCTCTCTTTGACTCAAGTTTGAAGGCAAAGAAGGACTTACGAGTAGCGGAAAAATAGGAGCTTGGCTTGCATCGCCACAAGGTGGACGGTGAGGGTCATGCCTGTGGTTGGTCATTGCTTGGACACTGGGTCATGGAGGAAATAGTAAACACGGAATGGAAAAGAAATTAGAGTTAGAATTCCGATTGGTAACCTTAGCACATGATATCAATCAGCATCTCAAGCCACAGAAATGTGAGCGGTGGCTTTTCAATGGAATAGTCAGTAATGAATGAATAAATGAGTTAGTCGCAGTTGATAGTTAATGCGACATCACAATGTATAACATCAGGCAGATGGTGCTATACTGCCACTTAGCTCAGTGAGGCTACCCCATGGTGCCATTCATGTTAGGTTAGATGAAATTAGCTCATCGGCATAAATCATTGTTGTATGAATGTCGAACAAGTAGTTTGGTGGAGTTTTATAGCACCGAAGTTTTACATTCACGTGGAAGGAGAACAAATTGGTTTTCCAAACTCGTGGATTAGCAAATATATTTATCGACTGGGTAACCTCAGTTGTCACTACTTACAATATCAAAACGACTGATCCATTACAGGATCGTGCCCGTGCATGTTGACCACTTCTGGTAATTATGCTATGCATAATCAAACGAAACAAGCACATTCGCCTTTATTTGATTGCAACAACATAGTGATTGGAGACCATAGAGTGTTTTGAGACTGCATCAGTTTGTGTAGAGTAAAACGAGATATGATCTACATGGTAAATGGTGAAGAACGGACACCATTAACCACGACGAGTTAAATTCATAATTGCATAAAACAATGATCATGGAATCTACCCAAACAACATCTTGAATTTCTACAGGTACTATTCGTCACAGTTAGAGAAAACAGTTAAATAGTACTCTGTCTTCTATAAATAGCTATTAAATAGCTACATATATTTCCAAAAACCGTCTTCAAATGTCAAACTTCAACCCTTTATCAAAAGACACAGGTTGTCTATACATTTAATCAGTTTTCCTCATTTTTATGTAAATTCAATTGAGAACTCGGTAACAAACTTACCAAATTACAAATTTCAGCTGAATAATTTCGATATAAATCGGAACTAGGATCCAATAAACTGTCATTCCACTCCAAAGACTTGTTCGATCTAGTCAGCATTGATGAGACTGCTACAAAAGAAATTAAATAGTTTCCAACAAGTCAAAGTTCGTTGATTTAAATCCGACTTCTCAGTGAAAGGAGAATATTGAGTTGACTTACTGTTGCACAACAAAACAAAACTGAACGACCTCTCTTCAACTCCACACCACAAATCCAAGTGTATTCGATTATGATCTATCAAAGTGATGGACACTATGAAGTAAATGGTTGTTTGATTTCCCACATCCATGCACACTGAATGCGATATGCTCTTGGTTTGTTATGAAAATAAAGAATTCTACACCAAGTAGTAATGTCTACCCACACACATTGGTTAATAAGTGTAACAATATTGTGAGTGAAGTGACGCTCAGCAAACAAATGTAACGTGACTTCCACAGTTACAGTAAATTTCAGTACTTGTTAGCTTTTATACGAATACAATTAAATTGTTCCACTTGGAAAGATTATGAATCATTCCGGTTTAACATAGATAGTGGCCAACGCGACCAGACGACCCTGAGAAACTCAACAATAAATACTGATTGACAAATAATTTCAATATATGAGCGTACTATATGTGACATCTCTTCGCTACACTGAATTTCCAAGAGGAACAATTCACCCAACCGTTTATGTAATGCAATGTAACCACATATTGATGAATGAAATGGAAAGCAGAATCAAAACAATCAATCAGGAAAATAAATTGGTGTGACAAAACAAACTGCTATATCATATTTTGACTTACCGATTACTACTGTTTTCGTGAGGTTGCCTTCTATAAAACATTTAAGTAGATAACGAAGAAAATTTTCATTAAAAGAACACATGGAGTTTGGTTACATGCAATGCAGATAGACAAGCAGAAACACAAACACAAAACATTGGAGAGAGGAACTTGAATTTAGATAAGCACACAAATGATGAAAACGTGAATTCAGGAGTAAACAATTTGGAGTGAATAGAAGGTCAAATCACTGAATGCCTCAATCAGGTCACTTCACATAATCTACTGCTCACATCAGGTCTGTTTCTAATGATTTCCAATTTTCCAATCGCTTCTGTAGATTCGCCTTTGCATTCAACATATTTCTGTATACGACCTAAATTAAACATATTTCACCAGCCAGTTTCTCATCACATTAATGTGTCTCTTCATTATTATATGACGGTGTAATAAACTAGATTAGATCACCTTGTCAGTCAATCATCATCAACCAAAACCTTGCAGCAAATGTGTCGTGGCACAATTTGCGATATGATATTGGTACAATCAGATATATTGAAAGAATTCGATTCCCGACATCAATGAAATATATTATGCTACTCTATGACCTAATGTCCATTGAACAATTAATCGATTATAAGTTTTCATCCACCTTAATTTAAAAGTATTTTATTGTTTTATGGTTTAACATTTTACCATACTCCTCTTTTAATAACGAAGTTTAAATTAGATGAATAAGTAGAAAGTATACACAATTTCTATAAAAGTACGTTAAAAGTATTATGAAAGTTACGAAGAGCGTTATTTATACTCCATATATATTTCTCCCTTCTACAGACTATATTTTAACATCTCATGATGTCTGACTGCCATTTCTTCATCATCAGTTTCTCAGTAAAACTTTTTTCTGGCCTGAATGAATAAATCTTCACTTATAGTAAACATATGGTGAATGTTTCACTTAATTTGATAGAGTAAAACGTGCGATCTCACGCGATAGGATTGAGGTTGGCTCCAACATTTAAGTAATTATTCTGAGGAACTTTTCCTTTAATTGCCTGATTATTACTAAAATATAATAACTAATCATTAATATAAATTTTCAGTTGCTGACTTCATACTGAATATGGAGGTTCTGAGGTATGAGGAGAAAAAATGTTTCACAAAGTACTTGACGAACTGCAGACTTAATAACTCCAGAAAGTTTCTTGCGCGATAGAAGCTGCTTTCGGCATAAATTACTTCATTTATACATCAACAATAAGAAGTGCTATAATCAAGCATCTTTTGCAAACTTGTCATTTGCCGTTAAGATGACAAAGAAACAACAACCAGGTCAACTTAACACATGAAAATAATACTGATTTGATATTCACAAGTGCTGGTTTTTCGCTAAAAGAATGTAGTTTACCTTAATAAAGCAAAATGATATATTAGTTGCAAAATTTAGGCGCTATATTCAGTATGAGATTAATTAGTAAACTCAAAAAAATTATCGAGAATAGTAGAAATGATCAAAGTGAAGTAAAAAGATATTCTGTTAAAATATAAAGGAGATTTAGACTAAGAACCAAACTAGCAAAAATATTAAACATACCTGAATCATATGGAGAAACATCGCCTGAAAAATAAACAAAATGAAATGATTAATAAAAGGTCTGGCAATGTTAATAGTAGGTATAAAAATTATACTAGAAACTCTCTAAGAATAAGATAGGAGAAAACAGAGCTCGAAAATGAGGAATCATCAACTGATGAGACATCAAAACAAAGAGGCGAGAAAATATCGGAGTCAGCAAATAAATACGTATGAGAAATCCCAAGAACGGAACTATGAACCACGTCAGTAGAATAAAAAATGTGCATTGTAGACGTGGACGTAAATACAAAAACAGATGGAATGACAAGTTACAGCATACTTGGAATATGTTGATCAGCGATGAAGATTATCTCCTTTGGTATTGTGGATCCAATGAACGGTGTGGTCAATGTGACTGCACTGGTAAAAGCAATGTTGGTCGTGCTGATATGTGTTGACATTGTGGGTGTAGATTTTCCAGTGCTGTTGGTAGCAACACTACTGGTTGTGTTGACGTCATTAACGATGATGCTGTTGGCCAGGTGACGAACTTAAGTGTGGAAATAGTGGATGTTGTGAAGATTGTTATCGTTGTGGTGGTATCAGTATCTATCTTGGTTTCGATAATCATTCTACTTGTTTTATTAAAGATTTTCGACTTTAAATTTCATCTCGCTTATTTCGTTTTTGCACTACTTCTTTCAGTGTTTTTCCTTCTCGATTGCTTCATCAATTCGTTTTTCATTGCTCCGTTTTGTTTTGTTTTCTTCCTTATTTTTCCGAACAGTTTTCTTATTCTCCCTCCGTTTTTGTTCCTCCTTTTTTTGAGGTTAAGAAACATTCTGTTAATGAGTTAATTTTATCGTTTTTGAATTTTGTAGATTTTTATTCTTTCATTTTTTAAAATCAATATTTAATCAATATCTAATATGTTATTCATTGTGTCCAGTACTTCACTTTGAATGAATTTCATTGCGTTTTTTAAGTTTTTTTGCTAGTTCCCTCATTGTCTATATGTTTTTTGTTGTTATCTTCTTTATTTTAACTTCTCACTTATTCTTTCTTTACTTTCTGATAAGTTTACGTTTGTGTTCTTAAGCGTATTTATTTTTTATTGTTATCATAGTTAATATTTTTAAATATATATTTGATGTTGGAATCATAAAACTGAAGCGGAAAATAGGAAGGCCAAATATCACATTACGTCGGGAAATAGAAACAGATATGAAAAGAATGAATAACAATTGAAAAGAGCTGGAAAGGATTGCATAGGACAAGTTTAGATAGGGAGTACTGATAGGCGGTCTATGCTCCTCCACGAGGGGTAACAGACGTGAGTAAGTAAGTAAGTTGTATTTGATGTTATTTCAGATCTGAATACGTTCAGACTAATTACTTTCTTTATTTTATGTTGTAATGATTTACTTCTCTATATAAATCTAGTCTTTTTCAACGAGTCATAGTTTAAACTTTGTTGGCACTTAGTTATTAATAATAACTCAGTTACTGCTATGATTTATGAAATTTTAAGGATTTGTTCTAATTATTTCATATGGTATTGTGCTTTAATTACATGAGTGTATTATTGCTCAGTCTGTGTAAATTATTCTTTCATATTGGGAAGTTATTTTTGTTCTTAGATGAACTATGAATAAATGTAATAACTATTTAGTACACCATCCAACATTATATATATATATATATATTTCGATAATGTAATTAGAGGACGAAGATTATCAGAACTATGTGATGTATTAGCGCAATACATTTCGAACAATCTGATCACACATATACTTGTTAAGAGCATTTATATATGAAAATAAAAGGTCAACTAGACTGGAAACGGGGTAAAAGGAGATAAGGATAATGATAAGAGTAATAATAATAATAATATGAACACAATTCGAAACCTTTCACACAGAACTTAGTTTTTCACCGGTTGAATGAGCCTTATAGTAACTTAGAATTTATTGATTTTCATGATAATAAATGTTAGAAATAGTCATGAAATCACAAGAAACTCATGTTTGATAAGCTGATTATGCTGCATAGAAAGTTAATAATAGAACAAAAGTACAGGATATCTGTTTGATTTAGGTTTTCTTTTGGTAAAAATCGATTGTCTTTTAAAATATCCAGTTGCAGTGAAAAGTATAATTCAGAAGTATTATGTTTTATTTAAATTGTTATTGACAATAAACAAGAATAATAAGTTATCACAATTTATCCAAATGACATCGCAAAATTTAATTAAATGATTGACTATTGAATTCAGTAGTATAGAAGAAGCAATAGTGACATGTTGAAATTTATTGATTAGTTATTGTTGTGTAATTTAACGTATAAATTCTTTCATCATGCAATCTGCATTGCTTTTCTTCATCTAAGAGCCGAGTAATCTAGCCTTCAACAAAAAGGATTTGTATCCTAGAATTAGAATGACAACTTATTTGCATCCTTTGAGTTTGATATTTTTTATTTCAGAAGTCAGGTACTGATTTTTACTATGTAATGATCTCAATTTCATGGATCATCAAACCTTTAATCTGATAAACTGCTTACTATGAATAATTAATTTATTTTAAATGAACAATGACTAACCTGTACTTGTTGAATACACACTAACTGGGAAATCTGAAGACGAAGATGTTTCAGATGATATGACATCAGATATAACCTGATCGTCATACGGTATTGTTGATTCCATACTTATCGTTATCACTAAACAATGTAAACAATTACAGGATGATATAAGAAATAAATCAGATAAAGGTATACAAATGTTATATTTAACTGTTAGTTAATTTAAGACCACTGATTATGTACATATCCATATATCACTTGCAAGAACACCCACATGAAAGCTATCATGATATCATGTCAAGTAGTAAGTAAATAAAAAACTTAAATAACATTCCTTAGTTGTTAAATTGAAGTATTCTTAACACCAAACGTTTATTTCACTTCTCTTTGACCGAACTCTGACTGAATGAGTTCGAACAGCCTAGTAGTTTAAATAACCATAATATGGTTATTCATTTGCTCTGAACAAGTGGCTTACATTAAGTCACGAAATGTAGGAATTACAACTTTTCTACTCATATGGATATAAAAAAAATTTATTTATTATGTTTATTATTCCTGAGTTATGTTTTTCTCATTTGGAATTGTAAATTTTCAAAATACTTACCACAATTCCACGTGTCATTCACTCAGATGGATAAGCAGAGTTTGCGTAGTTTAAGTTATTATTATCTCAGTTGAAATAGTCTGGATGTACTCCTGACAGGTTATGCTCTAAGCGTGCTAAAATAACTCCCAGAGTCAACATTTTTTCGATTAATCCTTTGACTTATTTAGTTGGTATGGCTACCTAACGATTATTCATTCAACTTTGCAATATGTACTGTATCTAGATCAGTAGATTACAGGGAGGGTAACTGAGATAATGTCAATGCAAACTCAATAGAGTAACTTATCACCACTTGGATTGATCGATCTGATCTAAACAGTTGCTTTGCACAAATTCTTTCAAATTAGCTTAATGACAGAAAATTCAGATATCTTGGTTTACCAGGGATGAAAACTAAATTTCAGTCAAGAATACGGTCTTATGCAATCTATTTAAATGGCTCATCTAAATGTTTGCTAACTGTCACCAGTAAATAGGAATTTCATTTGATTGAGGTGCTTTCTTAAAATTTACCAACAATTCATTTTGTTTGTGAAATGAAATGAATAAAGAAGTTTAACCATATTTCTCACATTTGTCTGTACAAAACTTTTCTTAGTTTCATTTGCATATTATCAATCCTTCATGAGATCGCTAAACCAGGGGAACATACTTATTGTTACAAAATAGCTCATATAGAGCTTCAGAAATAATTTATCATAACACAGTCTTATCGATTAAATAAGTTCTTATTTTAAGTATCATTTGATTTGCTTTCTAATGTTTCAGGGAAAATCATACTCTCGTCTTTTGGAATAGCTCACATATTTTTATTCAGTAACTCCCATTTTTGCAGTAAATGAGAAAATATTTGCAATCCATTGTAGCATTCACCATAGCGTACATGTGCGAATAATCACGGACCTCTATTTCAAATAATTTTAATCCATTTAGTCTATCAATAAGTAGATTTTATGAAGAGTAACCTAATTTAAGCATAACTAGATGCCAAACATTGACCTCGACAAAAATGTAGTGTAAGGAGAACAAATAATTATTATGCACAAATAATATTTTCTGGATGAATAAACGACTAAATTGATATCTAACAACTTCAACTAATGTTTCCAGGATTTGTTAATCAGTTATCGCGACTTTAGAAATTATTTATAAAAAGCAAATATACCGTTAATTAAGTTTGTTAACAACAAGTGAGTTCATCCACCTATCAAAAATAATTTATTTATGCATTTAACACATTTGTGCTTCCGTTATCACTTCATGCTGAAATGATGTTTTGACAATAACTGTAGATAATACGACCAAATGACTAGACCTATATAGTGATCGTTCTTGAAGTATCTACTAGTATTTACAAAGACCTTGACATAAACTTAGGTAGAGATAAAATCCGCCTTCTTTCTAATGTTTATATACTAAGAGCAAGCAACGTAAGATCTTGTTAATTTATTGATTGATGGGTTTTTTTTGTTGTAGTGTTAGAAATTTAGTTTACATTCTCGAAATATAAAAATATTAAATATTTTCTATTGCTTTTAGGACTAAACTAAGAAAAGTGAAGCGCAGTAAGACAGAACAATGTAAAAAGGATAATCAACTGTAAATCATTACTTTATTATACAGAATATTTACTTGACAGAAAAATTGGTAAGAAATTCAACATGTGGTCAGTGTAGCCTCATTATCAAAAATTCCCAAAATTTCAAGAAGTTGCTGATGTATTCAACAAGCTAATTTCCCCTCGGATATTATTATTCCTTAATTATTTATAATGTATTCATTTTAACAGGTATCGCCTTTGTAGGGTTATATGATATTTTAAAATATCGTATATAATTTACCTCACAGTATAGATAAAATACAGTGTATTATTTCAAATTATGAGGATCTAAAATAGCAGATCTAGGTAAATGGGTGCAGCCAACTCGAATGCGATCGAAAAAATATAGACTTATATATATATATATTACCTTTTGGAAATTTTTCCAATGACTTACATGATAATGAGATACTTGAATTTGGATCAATGTAAATTCCAAATGTATTATTTTGATCCACAGTTGAAACATACTCATTTATTCCTTCGATTATATTAGTATCATTTAACACAGTTGATGTAGGTTCAAGTGTTGTAACAAATGATGATGAATTCGCTATTAAAATAAGCTCAGCATCAACGTCAATGGACCCTTTTCTGAATTTTATGGTACCACATTCAACAATCCATAGAGATGATAAAATTGATCTCATAGCTGCTAAAAGCTAAAAGTTTTATTTAAAAATATTTATCGATATTAAATAAATGAATATACTTCTCAGTAGATATATCTGTGAAATAACAGTTTTTACATTCTTTTGAGTACTTTAATCTGCAGGATAGATATTTATTAAGAACTTTCTTTCACTTATGAAGACTTTACTCACACTTAATCGTTTTAAGTGGGATTAATTCTTTCTCTGAATTAGAACACGTAATTAACATGATGCAAATAAGTAGCATGTAGTTTGTTTAAATTATTTCCAACAGTTTGACGTAACAATTTATATGAAAGCTTGTTCCATTTGTAAAATTTCCTTTTCCGTGTCTTCTTTATTTAAATCACTGAAGTTATATCTAGTGAATCTTCCTTTGTCATTTGCATGACAGCTGAAAATGTTGCTTTATAGAGACCGACAAAAATGGACAATGGGTTAAATCCATTTGATTGTCTATTAATAGGCAAAGAAAATGTAGACTTAAACATAGACCTAGTCTGGTTTCAATGTTTACGATTTTAACGACAGCTTACTGGTGTACAAGGCAGATAATAATCATCAGTGATGCTACTAAAGAATATCATTGGAATATCATACTCCTATATGTCCTACAATAAACGGTTCAAACCTTACATATTTTGACGTTAATATCACATTTTTCGTTGTCAGTAGCTTTGGATAGAACAACTTCCGACAATCGACAGATTTTCCTAGTGTTTTCATATCAAAAACACATTCTATCATCGAACTTTACAGTTTTCCAGGAACCATTATAAGATTCTTAACATCTGTCGATAACACACTGTGTTTTACTACAGGTCTTCGTTCTGAAGCTGATAGACGTTAACTAGTAAAAGTAATCAATCAAAAACCGACTGCATTTTTGGTTGGACGATTTTTGTAGTAATAAAAAAAACATAACTGTCATTAGTGAACACATAGTTTTACTTAAATTAATACTAATACTTAAATATATAACGTTTCAATGTTTGTCCCAATCCTAGATGTGCCTGATTCGTTTAATTCTTTCTGATAATATTAATTAGTTTCCATTACAAAACAAAAAACAATAACAACTTATTTAGAATACAACAAATCAGTCGTATCTCATTGTAATCTCCATAACGACTCACAGGAAAAATTCGTTACATCACTCAAGTTTTTAAGTATTAGTATATGAAAACTAAGAAATGAATCTTTAATTAGAAAACAATAAATTGAAGAATTTTGATGAAGCACTTTATAAGTTATTAGATAAATAACTCTTGAATTATATACACAATACATACTGCTTTTTAACAAAGTCGGATATTAGAAACTTAAGTGAAACCGTATCCACGACCCCGCACCACTCATGAGTTCAATCTGTGAAAATTTCTAAAAATCTCCACAAAACACATTCTGATAATAATCATATATATTCTATCCAGATAGTAAAATATCATTCATCTATCAAAACTAAAATTTATTAATTAATCTTATCAAATTACATAAACTCTTGATTTAATGGTCTAAGGAACTCAACTTCAATGATCATACTCTACTATAAAAACTTTGAAGGATCTAATTATAAGTTATTAATAATTTAGTAGATAATCGTTATATATTCCTTTAAATTTGTAAAGATTTTGTGTAATATATTGATCATTTTCATTTTGAAAATTATATCATCTAATATATTTTCAAGTTACTCAATGCTTTATTCAAAACAACTTAACTAATTACTGTACTATTTGAATAATTTGATTGATTTAAACAAAATAATCATTATCATTATTATCATTTAATACAAGTGGTGTGGTGTGTGCTACTTATATTGACATAAGTAGTAGATGATGTTAGTCGTGAACAGAAGGTCTGGCAGCAGAGAAACAAGAGGATCGAACAGTAAAGAATGGAAATAGAATGCAATTTGTATGAAAATGCAAGAACAATGAAGTCTGAGTCATTATGAGACAATTGATGGACATTTTGCAAATTAAGCATTTACTTTATGATTGTTAGATTTTATTAACAAGTTCTGTAATTTTGTGTTAAACACATTCGATTGTCCCCACTGGTGATCTTGTTCACTAAATATCAACGGATAAATAGAAATCGGATTATTCAAATTACCTCTTTCTATTTTCAAAACATTTTTGGGTGTAAATAACACATTGTAGTCACAGTGTTATTTTAAAATGTATGAATCTCCTTAGAAAATAATTATAGTTTGTTAATTATTTTAAATAATTTTAATATATCTACTAAATATTCCATATGTAACAGAAGGATCACAAATAAATGATTGATTTAGTTGAGGGTGATGTACTTGATCTATTTTCATTTGCTTTACTGAACATCATATTGTTTACAGTGAAACTAATTTCACTACTGGAAATTTCATTGTATCGCTTTCTGACTTATATATGAGTTATCAGTCGAAGTTATGTCTGGATCTTCTTGAGTTTATCCTGTTTAGTATTTGTCCAATATCTCATATAGTATTTCTTTATAATGTACTGGTGAAATTAGTTTTTCCAAGAGACTTGAACATAGTATCACACTTATGTTAGTCCGTAAATGTCATGTAGGCTCATGATAAGGTCAAATAAGAAACTATAACGTATCGCAGGTGTGTTAACTTATACTTCTTATATAGAATATCGTATCTAATTTGCAATTATGGACCGTTTATTGAAATATTTGTTAAGATTTGCATTTATTTGGCGACGAATCTAACCCTACACTAATTGATGCATCACCTTGTTTAATTAGTACAGTCAAACGTATTTCTTGCAGGAGGAAGAGCTGATACAGTAAGCTAATCAGAGGTCGGCTCATGATTAATCAAAAAATATTTGGCATTTCTTAAGAATGGGAACCGAACAACACATTGGTAATAAACTATAGTATTCAGTCTATTATCACTCATAAAATGTATATCTTAAGTTCAGAGATTCATTTAAAACATAAAAACGTATTCTGTCAACAGACAAAACTTTTGTAATCTGATATTTATTAAAACGTATGGATTAATTAATTCGCTTGGCATTGTTTTACTTGAATCTTCCCATTGATGTTTAGGACTGAAATTGATCAGTCTCTTATTGGCATATGTGCATACTGTGCGTATTGCCTCGATATTGCCTTAATTTACAAGCATTATAAGCAAAGATGGATAGTGGCTCTCAATGGAATCCAGGACGCGCATTTATCCTATTTGGGACTCGTCAGCTGAATGTACTTGCATCTCAGAGTTGATGTTCACTCTGAGACTCGAACCCAGTACCGTTCGCTTAAAAAACGCGCGTTCTGGATTCCACTGCTAGCCACTATCCATCTTTGCTTATAATGCTTGTAAATTAAGGCAATATCGAGGCAATACGCACAGTATGCACATATACCAGTAAGAGACTGGTCAATTGCACCCTAAACATCAATGGGAAGATTCAAACAAACAATACCAAGTGAATTTAAACTTCACCCCGTTTCACAAGCAAGTGGCTGCCACGACTCAGTAGCTAAGTGGATAACGCGATGGCCTTTGGAACGAACGGTACTGGGTTCGCGTATCAGAGTGATCATCGACTCAGATGCAAGTACATCCAGTTGACGAGTCCCATATAGGATGAAACGCGCGTACTGGATTCCGCTACTAGACACTACCCATCTTTGCATATGAATGAATTATTATCGATAATTATAGCTTATCGAATTATTTATATAAAATTAAGTGTTCCTAGATAATCTAAATGCGCCTGAAGTCAGAAACACTGTTCTAATAATTGTCATATTACGTAAAGGTGAAGTAATGTCACTAATAATGGCTTAATATTATTTATTTTATCTACTTTCCATAGATTATATTCTTTTATTGCTACGGTTTGTAACAATTTTACTTTAAGACTTTTTCAATTTAGAAACTATTCTGTCACCAATGAAATTTTGTTCAAGTTTGTAATTTGTTGGTAAACTTTCGAGGTTCAATAAAAAGACAATAACTGATGAATAGACTGTGATAGCAGTTTATCACTTGGATTTGGGCTGATCTTTGTTAACTCTGATAGGTAAGTTGATTGTTATTTCATTTAGTTAAATGCGTAGCAAAGAATAATGACACTAATAGGGATAACGTTCTTTATATTACGAAATCTTAATATAAAACAAATAAGCAATAACAATATTGGATCAAATTGTTTAAGGTAAACAAATGGTCAACACTTACTCTCTATACATAGTTTAGAGTGGTTAGTCCATAATAACTGAATCACATGACGGTTCATGGTTGTGAAATAATCATAAGAGTTGAGCCAACGACTAGTCCTCAATAAAAATCAGTGGTCTCATCATATGATGATGAGATTGATTAACAATATTATAATATATTTTCCATCCCTATTTATCGTTTAAACGTAAATATACATTGCTACACCTAGAGTCTAAATCTCATAACTCAATTGAGTTTTAGTTTAAATAAAGACTTTAGATTTACCATGATCCACTTTTGCTATACACAACAAAATCGTTTGTGTAACTATTTAATTATAGTTCTAAAATAATGGTTAAAATTTCATTGTCTGATATTCTATTGGCGTTTACAAGGCTCTTGCAAATAGAAGTTTTACTAAAAATAACTTTGTATTGAACTCGAATAAAACCACTAAAATGAGAATATTTTACATTCTGTTTTAGCTAAGGATGAATTGCTCTATTATTTTACCCTTCAATTATTCGTTAATCTGTAAAAAGTCACAAATAACCTTGATCACAACTTAATAATCTCCATAACTGAATACTGAAAAATGAAATAATTTTTTTCACCCGATATTCTTCAAATCCATAGAAATTTTGAGCTCTAAAGTGATGTAGCTTCGTTGAGATTCACTGTCATGAAAGGTAAATGTAACTGAGAAATGTTTTTCTGTTTCGTTTTACATGTATTAATTGTGTTAATTAAAGCCCTAAGATCTTCAAACCGTAGAGTTATGAACAGTAGTAAATCATGACATTACTATTTAGCAGAGAACACTAATTCCTTTAAACAAACTACTCAAATTAGACAGCCTCTCCACTAATTCTGTATTTCACAAATTAACATAAAAATCTATAGTTTTTATAGTGCGTCACTACTAAAAGGTTACTTCAAGTTTATTTATACTATTATGTCCTGTACAAAGGACCCGGATTCAGGATCTTTGGGACCACTCAAACGCTTAACATCTAGACCACTAAGCCGTCATCCAACGACGTTAATGTCTAACCTCAACCAATCCAAGATATTGCACAACCGTCTTGTATTGTCCTCGGGAGATGACTGCTTCATACCCGACACGGATTGGACTTCAATGGTCATGGATTCCCACTAGAACTTCAAAAATTAGCTCTTGAAGTCAGTCACTAGTGAGCACATGATTGTGGACGCGAAATGCTCAGGAATCTCGCAGTAGGACGAGTGGTGGTCTAACATTTGTTGGTTTATGATTTGTATAAAAGCTAAAAGTTTTGCAATACTCCATAAAGATGAGTTGCATAATTTATTTGACCTAGGCCAATTATTCGGGCGTTATTCTTCATAGGTAATCATCAAATAAATACTCAACATGTACAAGAATCAAAGCTGATTTACTTAGTGTGCTGTATTTTAGTAACATCTGAAAAATGCTAAACATTTAACTAGGTTTACTTAAAATTCAAAAATTATTACAGAAGTACATCGACACTATTGATATGCATTTTAGATATTTGGTAACCCTTTTATAGATCATAAATATATATAAATATTGTCTAGTTAAAGTCAGATGAGTGTTTTTTATAAAAATTGACTGGTGTGTCGGGAAAAAAACTGACAACGAAACAGTACTTTCACTTAAACGTGTCATCACAACAAACCAAATGTTAATAATATTCCCAAGGATAAAATTTACTTACTAGTTCACAAACATTTCGAGATAGTTCTTGATAAGTGGTTGAAGTGGTGTTCAGTAGATCATCATCCCATGTTAGTGAACTATTAGTTCCTTGAATTGTAAAATTCAAAGCTTTAAAAAAGAAATGATTAAAAATAAATATGCGCTGGATTGGGTCATTTATTTTTCATTCATCAACCATATTCATACGTGAGAGCAAATATGTAATTAATTTAATCGAAAACGATTTGGATTATCCCTTTGATGATATTTTGACTCAAATTTGGTCACTCTTGGTTTGCATCAATGCATAATCTGTGGATCGCCACAATATAGCCACTATGACACAAGGTTACATGGAACTGACGAATTTAGCTACCAGTGAAACCTAGGACACTGGTTTAGTCTTATACCTTTCTCACAGATGAGTGGTTATCTGAACGAGTTAGTGTTCGAAGTGAAAGGTACCGGACTCAAATTTCGAAGCGAATATAAGGGCGGCCTGCTTGAGCATCTGGGCTACCTGTTCCTGCTATCTAGATATTTCAACAAGTTATCTATTGTTGTTTGTTTTAATATATCATTATGTTTATTAATCGCATAACCTATTCTGCTGCGTTTCTGAAAAGTGTACAACCTTTCGTTGTCAAAGTTACAGAAAACTCAATAAGAGACAATATGGTTGCCGGCAATGTACAACGAAAAGAATGTACATTATTCAGTTGTTCATTCATTGAAGTGCTAACATCTAACTGGCGATTCCTCAATATTTATCGCCAGGACCGACCAAGAAGAAAGAAACGGAAACTTGTTGAAATACTTTGCGCTGAGAATTCTATATTGTACCAAAATTATAATATTGAATAAAGCTAATAATAATAATAAATAAATAAAAAACTGACGAGTCTCATATAGGACGAAACAAGCGTCTTAAGTTCCACTGCTAACAACATTCCATCGGTTCTGCATATAATTACATTGTTCTGAAGCCATAAGTGAATCGAATTATTTATTCATTGAAAAAATAATTACCAGGGATGTTTAGTTCAACTGAATAAGTTTGATAGTGGTCATGTTTCCTAGGATTCACGAATTTTAAGGAAAGTTATTAGCTAAGGAAACGATACCATGACACTGAAGTTCAAACAAATGTATATTATAAGAACTTTTTAGTCACAACATAGAAACACATCGTTTAACCTGGATTCAGTTATCTATTTTCGAAGTCAGTGTTAATTGAGGGTTTGCATTAAGTAGAGAACTATTGGTAAATGAGGAACAAAATACAGATTCTTGGTTTCCAGTTTATTGATTTTAAGGGATGTCTATCAACACCCGTAGGCAGAATGAAAATTAGAACTTTCAGATATCCCGATTATTACTATTCATTTATACCATCAAGTCAAGATTTAACGATCCACATTCGTAGTGTGCAGTTTTATACATAGAATTACACAAACTATATATTCATCTGTGTTATCATATCCTCCTCGTTGATGAAAGTGTATGGTGGTTGTATTATACTCATATGAAGAGCTAAAACTATAAATTGTTAAATGATGCTGATAATTAGTAGGGACTGTAGTTTCTCACGTTCATTAGTCAGAACTGAATTTTTAAAGCATATATTGAAATATGAGCTAAATTAATTAATAATAACCTGAGTATGTGTTTGACTTTTATTTCTATATTATTAGGTTTTCCATAAAAAAAACAACTATAAGATTTACCTTTTCCGTACAGCACTACCATTAATATTGTTAGGTAATGAGGTTTAATTACTGTGTGCTACTTATATTGATATAAGTAGTATGTGACGCGAGTTAAAGAACGTAATGTCTGGTAGCAGAAGATAGGGGAAGATCAAGAAAGGAAGAGCGGAAGCACAATGCAATTTGTAAGAAAACGCATGAACAATGAAATGTGAGACAATGGATTGATGATTGAAACAGCAACAGTCTGGTTTGATATGATGGAATAATATTTTGCAAATTAACGATTTACTATTTGGTTTTTCTATTTTACCGAGTAACTGTAATTGTCCCTACCCGTGTTCTGTTCACTACAGTATGGCTTTTTAGTTCACTTTTTTAAGGTGTTGTGGGACATTCAATAAATAATTGGATTATGACTAACAGTTTTGCTTACAAAGAAATCACAAGTCGTGTGAATATAGTTTAATTATCCTGTTAACTAGTTATGAATATGGCCAAAACGTTTTAGCAATCAAACCATTTTGAGACGAAATATTTTTGTAACCAACAGAACTTGAATCTCAAGAAAAAAAATGCGAAGTTCCTGATGAATCATTCTGATGGACGACAAAATGATCGAACCCCTTGCGCATTGTCTTATATTTAACACAATACCAATTTAACAGCTGATTCTAGCACCATGAAAGTTAATAATCTTTTACATCACATCTTACATTAATATTGACAATGTGTATTATCAAAGTAAACATAAATAACTTAAATAACCTTACCAGACCTCAATATAACACTCATAGGCACATATAAATAGTAACATTTTATGAACCTACCTACACTATATGTTGTTGTATCTATGGTTTCACCATAAGATAATGTGGATGCCAATGATTGTTCTGTATCCATAAAATCACTGCTAAAATTCACTGAAATAAATTAAAACATAAATATTATTGTTTTCCTTTGAATAAAATTTCTCATTCAATTTATAGGTTTGATTTATCAAATATAAATCAATATAAAATACAGATAACTTTTAATAAACAATGAATAAATAATTCCTATATCAACTTATTAGTAATTTGACTACTATGTATTCACATTGATCATCTGAATAAAAAGAATAATTAACTGGTCAGATAATAATAACGTTCATTTAACGAAACGATCTGTGAATGTATTCTAATAATTAATTTATCTTTCAATTTAAAATCATCAAACAGTTTTACCCAACGTACCGAATTTTTATGATCATTGAAGTATTCTTCATTTCATATATTTACAAATGATCTTAAGATGCAGTACAAACCAGACATTGATGTAGTACTAACGAAAATTTATTTGATTGTGATCAGATTAGGGATTTGTGGAGAATAATAATTTTAATGGTTCAACTCATTTTTCGATCTAAGCTAGACCACCACTGAAAACCCGAGAGTACTGGACGACCATTTCGTCCTAGTATGAGACTCCTTAGAAGTGTCCACGATCCCGCACGCGGAAATTTAATCTGGGACCTCTGACCTTGCATGCAAACACTTAACCTCTATACCATTGGGCCGGCATCCAAAGGTGTTAATGTCTAGCCTCAAACGACTCACGATCTTGCACAGCTCTTCATCCATTGTCTTAGGTAGATAACTGTCTTCACCCAACATGGATAATACTCCAATACACAAATCCACATTCTGATAGTAATCACGTGCTTATTCGTGACTAGCTTCAAAGTGGATTTTCCGGAGTTCTATTGAGAAACCATGACCAGTGGAGTCTAATCCGTGTCGAGTGTGAGTCAGTTACCCACCGAAGACAATCGATGAAGGGTTGTGCAAAATCATGGATCGATTATAGTTCGGCATTAACACCGTCAGTTACCGACTCAGTAGCCTGAAGGCTAAGGTTTTGAGCGAGTTTGATGTTCCCAGGTTATAGTCTTGTGTGAGGGATCGTGAACGTGGGCTGTTGGAGAGTCAAACACTGGGACAAGACAGCTGCCTAGTGTTTTCCGGTTCTCATTTGATTGTTTTGTAAAGATATAAAATAAGTATACTTTCTGGATAAACAATTTAATCTAATATACCAACAAAATTTCTCACTGAATGAAAATGCCTCAAAGTCGTGCAGTTTCCGTCGAACTCGTGTCTCACTATCAAGTTTTATCCTGGTGCGAATATCTAGTTGGCTATGTTAATGATGAAAAAGTATTGAAGCAAGATTTTATAAGTGAAGCTAGGTAAGATGAAGAAAATTGAAATGCCCTTTACATATTATCTTACATTGTACTTCTTCTTGCAAAGAACGGACAAATTAGGAAGCCAGTAACTAAAAGACATAGCATACATAAACATAAAGAAATCAATCAATAATTTGTATTCATTCAAAGACCGTTTTAAAAGGATCCTAAAATGTTCACTGATAAGTACTTGAAAAGTTAAGTTAGGCATGCTTGTAAATAATAGGTTAATTTCATTAGTTCTTTACCGTTCCCCAATAAACCATAAGTTTTTTACACAGATATTAATAAACCCTTCAATGTGGTAATTTTTCTTTAGCCTTGACGAGAATCAGAAATCACCCACTAGCCACAGTTAACAAGCCTTAGAAATGGTAATAATTACTCTAACTGCTTACTATTTATAAGTAGTATGGTTGAACGTAAAAAGATAAGCTGAATAGATATCAAACAAGTTTCATCAAGTTCCTCCATTCAAGTGATGTAGGTTAATTTCACAATATACCTAATCAAATTCCGAGAGATATGCCACTACTCATTGGCTTAGAATTTATTACATATATACGGTTGTACAGCATTGAGAAAGAACTCGTTATAAAGGATACCTTTGCTGAATAAATTCTTTTATGATTTAATGGGTATATTTTTTTTAATCAAATAGATGAAAGTTAATTCACATATATCTAACTACCAGTGATATTGTAATAAGATTATGTAAACATACCACTTGATTGAATTTCATCCATAGAACTCCTCATGTATGAGTACATTTCATTTGCGTCAGCCATCGTTATTGTTGTCGTCATCGTCGTGATCGAAAGTGGTGATGATGATGATGATGATGACGATGATAGCGGTTGTGATGTTGGAAGAAATACAGTACTTTCTTCTTTTATTTCAGTCACTAAATTTAATTAAACAATAAATTAAGTAAATATTAATGACTAATAATTATTTTTATATCCTTTCATATAGAGAACAAATGATATAAAGAAATATTTCCCAATTATTCAGTCGTACTAATTATAACATTGGTTACGATTACACAAAGAAACTTTTGAACGTAATAAATCATCTTAGCCGTGCACTGAATATTTTTTAAAACATTCGATTTCTTCTCACTGGTCATGGTTACATCCATTTAATCTCATTTTCTTTCATAAACATTTTTATGCTTGACTGGTTAAATGATTCTTAGTATCTAATTGCCCAGTAAGACTTCATCCAGCATATTATTGACCAAATGCTCTCTTAATATATGAATTTGGTTATCTAGTATCCATAACTTAATTATATTTACTTGGTTATAAATATGGATTCAAAAAATATTCAAAGCTTAGATGGACGAAATTTCTTTAGACAGATAACAGTGTCATTATCAGCGTTTCGCATTTCGTAATACTTACTATTCACTTGAACAAACGAAAAAATCACCTTTTGTTACTAATTTTTGAGTCAACTATGAAATCAACCATCTTTGCTAATGTCTCTTTTAGGTTCTGACATTATTAAGGCAAGGAGTACGTTATCTAGTATGAAATCTAGATCCAAGTCTTCCTTATAACAGTTGGAATGGTATCTATGTCCCAGTGATTTCTTTATTTTTTTCATAAAAAACGTTTTTCATCCCATTTTAAAAATATTTTCGTCTACCCTTGTCTAATCCCTTCAATATCACAATCATTAATGGAACTTCCCAATCTACGACAACAACACATGAATCCGGATATTAACTGACGCAAAATTTGAAATTGTCCAACCTCCGTTTATTCCAGAGGTGGAAGCTTTTAAAGTTGTACACTTTGTATACCAGTCTTACTAAAACCAGTCAAATCCGTAATATGTCTTCAATATGTTCTCAAAGACTAATCTCCCAAGTTAGAAATATGTACACTTATATTTATGAAATGTAGGGGATTACGGAGAACTGAAAGGATGAGTTTTGCGCGTATCAGATGACTGAAGATAATAATCTGAAGCAATTTTTCTTCATCACTACCGATCAAGTTAATTTGACTACGTGTTTCCTGGATGTGGTTGGTTTTGATGGGACAAACAAAGTAATAAGGAGAATTTATTTCATTATCAAATTTTGGCCCTAGCTGTAAATTTAATGGTTATCACAAACCATATCGCAACTTCAACACTGCTTTCTAAATTTGTACCATTCTTCAGACTCTCAACTAACAGTCGAGGCCTGCTTGGGATTCTCACAGGAGATTCACTGACGATATCCAGTCCAGTAACGCAAATGTATCCGAACTCGCATCACCTTTTATGTCAGGTACTTCTAATTAAAAATGTCATAAAGAGGGCATGTGATTATTCCACTGATCTTTAACTGTAACTAAAATTGTAAAGGCTATGATTAGAAAATACTCATTTGTTCTTCCGTCAGATGTTAACGAAAACGTTGACTGACAAATAGAAACGTTTGTACTTGACAAACGTGCTATCTTGTTTACAGAGTTATCCATCGAAGTTAGAAGAGTCAGACGCCAAGTTCTATCAACATTTACAACATCATTTATTGTTTCCAACCAACTAAAATTAAACTAGTTTACGGTGGGGACTACATCACTAACTTGATTAGTATCTTTCAGTAAGCCGCGGTAATTAGACAAAATTAGGTTTCTTACTATTTAATAACTGTATGATGCGAATTGCCTCAAAATACATTAAATAATATACATATTTGGAGTCAGTTTATTCTTAGAACAGATTTAAACTTAATACAGTAACAAAACTTTTATTTCAGTCAAGGAATAAGACATTAATACTTCAAAATCATTTGCCCTAAATCTACCAAAGTATCTGATGACATTTAATCAGCAATCTCCACAATAACTGTGTGGTATGATAATAATAAATTATTCTTGACTTCAAAAGAAATGCTAAAGTTGATACCGTTTGATCATTCTTATATGTCATGTGATTAAAAAGAATCCGAAAAGAATATTGTATTCACTTCTAAAATATCAGCCAGTCTGTTTGTCTTCTGAACAATATTAACATAGGTTTCTTACAATATTATCATTGGGACTGAAATAACTGATTGTAGTATTAAATTTATATTGTTAGTGCTGAATAAGAAGAATAACTGTGATCCATGTATTAATAGAGTATAAATTCATTTGTATTACTATATTTTGTTTAATTTCTGTATCCCCTTACAACTAATCTTTTGCTATTACACTGCCTATTCAAATAAATTCAACAGAAAAACATTTTATCAAGTATATGGAATACAAGTAAATTATTATTTAAGTAGTATTTTTTTATTCTATATGTCGATAGTAACAGTTTTTTCTATCCATTTAGTATTCACTTATATTAAATACAAAGAAAACTTACATCTGAATGAAAAATCTCCATTAAAATTAAATCCTAGAGAAAAATTTTTATCATTAATTATGGAATTGATTAATTCTTCACTGCCTTTTATCAATAAATTTGATAGATCTTGTGAAGATAATAGTGAATAATTCGCTTCGTTAAATGTTAGTATTGCGTTGAGTATAATAGAACCTTTTGTGAATTCTATAAATGTACATTTTGGTTGTTTAAATTGACTTGTATTCGCATGCCGAAAACTTTGTAGTAACTATTTTTTTAAACAAAAAAATAATAATTGAAAATTGAATAAAACCATCGTAGAATAAACCTAAGTTAATAAAAATGATTGAATATTATTAAACAACTTTTGTGGAAAGAAATAAGTTACGTAGTAAAACATAATTGAAATGACGAAATTTGTTTGTCGAATGTTTTTTATAAGACAATCTTAAAAAGTGAAGCCAGTAAATATTTCAGTCTCCATTAATACCTAACACTAATATCTGTGTTATACGCAGTAATTAAGTGAATTTATTATAAAATACTTTAATTCAACATTAACTATCTTCTAAGTGAACTGTAGTACGGATACAGTTATACAGTTTGTGTTATATCCCGATAAGAATAATGAATGGTAATTTTTGGGATCCATTTATGGACCAATACTAAACGTATATTTTTATCATATAATTGTTATGCAACTAAACTGTTCATATTCATGTCGCTCTTATTATAAGCTTTAATTTGACCCATAGACTGTTACTATACGATTTACCATTCTTGAGTTATGGCCTGTCTATTAATTACTATCTCCCTCATTCACAGCCACTTTTGGCTAATTCCTGTACAAATGTTGTGTCATATTTTATGGTACGTTGTGGTCTGTCTGGTTGATATATAAACCGAGTATGTTTGAAATAAATAATTCATATTGCAGAGGCTGAGATTGGCGTTCTGGACTTAACTGGCTGGGGTAGACAGGAAGCGAGACTAATCCGAACTCTAGGTTGCTCGCACGTGTTTTATGCGTCACTGGTTCGGTCGATAATTCGCTGCTCTCTGATTGGCGGTATTGTTGCGTTATACAATAAACAGGGCACACAGGTTCACAAGTTATAACAGTTTGTTAATTAGAATTATTAACTTAAGACGTATGTGTGGAAGATATTGTCATATATTCGTAGCAATCACTCTTTCCCTAAAATCATAAGATTCAAATGAACTTAAGTCAGATACAGAAAACTATCGCAATTCGATAACATGATGTACGATTTTGATGTTTTTCATTTAATTTTCTCTAAACATTTCACAGCTTTTCTTACTAACAAAATGTGTACTTACTCTGTTCATTATGACTACATAGAATATTCGTAATTCATAATTACTCTATAACTTTTATCAAAAGAAATAATTAAATTTCTTATCTAGTTATTAAGTAAAAAAAAAATATTTTAAAACCATTTTTTTATTCAGATATGATACATAATACTTACAAATTCACAATAACTAGTTGATAACAGTTTGTATATTTTAGATTGTGGATCAGTTAATTTATCATCCCAATTCTTCAATGGAGAATGAATTCTACTTTTAATCAAAACTGAATGTTTATCTAAAAAGACAAACCGAAATCATCAGAATGATGGTAATATTTCAGTTATATTGATGTAATATCAGTGATATATTAACTTGCCTATTGAAAAGCTATAATATTTATCAAAAAGGACTATGAAAGTGAAGCTACATCAAAATAGTTTAAACTGTTTTATAGACATGCATACAAAGAACATCTTGATCAGATATACATTCACGAAGATTTATTTATTCAGGTCCATGTTCCAAGTGTCTTATCTCAATCCATAATACTGTTAAATGTCTTTCTATTTAATGGAAGAATTATGTATTACCCTTATCGCATACATAAAGATTAAATGACAAGTTAGTCAATCACTGTTATAGTTGGGATGTTTGCATAAATAATATTATATCAAGGGTACTGTTACAGTGAATGCGACCAATATCAGTCTTTTAAAGTATACATGGTACGATCAGCTATGATTAACAGTTTACTTGTTTAGAAGAACATTGGACTATCTTCCTATTCAAGCATATAGGTCGGTCTCTGAAGTCAGTACAACTTATATAGGTAAGCACCTGTAAAAATTCGAAATCATTTCTCACTAAAAGATCGAACACAATCGATCATGATTTCTAAGCTTAGACCTGTATTTGTATACGCCTATATTCATTAAATCAGTTTGAACTTCACTTAGTTAGACCAAAACAAATCGTAGATGAGTTACGGAAGATTACATGAAGGGTGTTTAGGCTAGATTATCTAGTATAGGTATCACAGCAGTCCTAGAACACAAAGTTATTTTTCCAAAAAAATAATATGTCTTACCACTTAAAAAAGTTTCCTCTGAGTTTTGTAAGTCACGCTTTTCTCGTAAATTTAGAAATCGTGACATCTTTTTATATTTGGAAGTTATCTCATCTTCAAATAAATCAAAGTGCTTAATTGTTGGAAATTCTCCATAAACTTCAAAACTAATCTCTGGCAAATGGATTGACTTTAGCAACTGCTTCTGTCGATGAGATACTCTTGGTTTGATTGGTATTTCATAATTGTAAATTGTTTTATCTGTTACTGTTTCATTTAATATACATCCACATAATAACCCAATATAGAATATAATCTTGGGGACACCAAATGTGAATAAATTCGTTCTTGTCATTTTATGCTATAATCTAAAAAAATATGAATAAATTCCAGACTATTATGTACTCTTAGTATCCAGTTAAGAGTCAGTGAAAAAACTTCCATTCGAAAAAATCATCCGCCAAACTTTTTATTGCTGTTCAGTATTAAAATTTCCTGTTTTGACTACTCTAACTCAGTTATCTTTGATAATTGAAGGAACAATCTGTGAATCTAGGTTTTAAATTCTCACTTCACAGTAGATAATTTAAATATAAATAAATGACTTCTTGAAGTAACATGTCAATTAGGATATGAGCAAAAGAAATATGCTATTATCTACTCTAATAATCTCTAACAGTTATTAGCAACATACTTCAAAACTTAATTCATCAGTGATATTATACATTAGGAAAGGGAAATATAGTGGCTAGAAGTGGAATCCAGGACGTGTGTTCCCTCCTATTTGGGACTTGTCAGCTGGATGTACCTGCATCTCAGAGTTAGTGTTCACTCTGAGACTCGAACACAACACCGTTCGCTTCAAACGCCATCGCGTTATCCACTTAGCTACCGAGTCCTAAAAGTGAAATATACAACCGTAAAAGCAAATCACCAATGAAAACGAAAAGATTAATTCGCACAAAATATTTTAAGAAAAAAAATGCAGCCATTGAGAGTTCCTTCAATTACATCATTAGATGGTATATTCTAAGTATCTGAATCAGATGAAAACATTACTTTAGCTTTTGGAATAAAGATTTTCAATAGTTGTTTAAAAGTATCAATTATCAAATTCATTGTGCATTCTAACAAATTCACTGTATTAAATTATGAATTTATCATGATCTGTAGTTAATCCAACCAATTATGACTAACATAAACTTGAAATATACAACTAAAATTAATACTACTTAAGGTTATATACTTAGACCCATCTAAACCAATTATTCTATTTAATATACACTAAGGTAAATAACCATTTCATACAGCGACTCAATGAAACCACAGCTAAACTATTTAAATAGAAATATATTTTACATAAATAAATTTTACAATTACAGCTTCTATCTAAACATCATTTCTAAATTTAAACGCTTCTTTTTCTTAGATTAGATTCAATGGTGAAAATGTATCAGTTAATGGAGGCTTATAGTTGTGTCATGATTTCACTTGACATTGTGATAATAGGAACAATAGAAACACATTCCATGAAACGTTTTACAATATACATTTCAATATAATATTTAACTAATGATTAACTACAGAAAAGTACCAGGTAATACTGCATGACCTTTTAATAAAACGGTATTTTGGACGTATTAGAACCTAAAATAATCAGAAATATTCCTTTTTCTGTTGTATTATTTTATAAAACGATGATTCTTTACTTATATAGGAAGAAAGTAACCGCTGAAATGATAACAGTAGCTAAAACTGATTAAAAATTGAACTATTCTAACCATTTATTTCACTATAGTTCGAGAATATTAGACAGTGTACACCTATAACAATTTAGCTTTAATGAGAGCATGTTACTATAAACTAGTTAGGTTTCACCTTGATTATACTCAGAAAAATATGACTACACAAGTTGTAGTTACACATTTTGATAAATGTTATGTAGTAACCAATTCCTTAAAGCAAACGATCTCTAAGTACTAACCAAAACAGTTTAAACATTTTTAGAACTAAAAAATAATTGTACATCATGTGATAAGGTCATGATTATTTAAAATGACCTTTATAGCTACGAATCAACTTGTCTGAAGATAGAACTTTGATACTGACCACTATCTGGTAAATCATAGTATTCAAAACAACTTATGAATGTTACTTCAAAAAATATATATATTAACAGGTACGCGCACTGATCTGTTTGAAAATGACCTTTCCATCTTAGCTGAGCAAAGCAAAGGTAAAAATTATCACGTGGTGGAGACAGGACTTAAGTTTACCATAATAAAGCTTTTAAGGTTGTCCATCGTATTCCATCAAGTTTACCACGTGGTCGTCTTTTGCGTACTGCATAAGCTGTTGAATTCTTTATCCACAAACCTAACCTTTGTACTCAAAAGAAGTTTTTACAATCTCTCTCCTTATCTTGCAAATCCATACAGAAGCGCATTTTAGCTAAACTTTGGTTAACATCTTTCCTTTTATATAAAAATTCTTCATTTCATTCACCATACATTATCGATCTCTAGAAGTGTAATATTTCTCTCTGAAAAAAACTAGACTTTGACAAGTCGCAAAGTTCTCAAAACAGTATTGTTCACAAAAAGACGAAGATACCGATATTAATAAAAAAACAAAGACTTCTACCGGCATATAGTTGATATAACCAAGGTGACTGTACAAAAAACAGTTAGTCAAACATTAAAATGAAGTTCATTAAGAACCAATGGGGTGTTGTTCCTTATCATCACACTACTTGTAATCATACACTTTTATATCACTTGTTTTTAATTTGTCATGTTTACTTGAAAGTATTTTTTCTCCCATTATCTACATGAAGCTAAACTGGCGAAACGATCACCTAGTAAAATTGACATGTGTTTAATGTAGATGATGACTGATGTTAAAAGAACTTGTCTAACTTTTGGATCTAAAACAAGTTTATTCTTTAGTAATTTATCTGATTTTATTTAAAAATCAACAACAAATTGCGAAATACCACAATTAAACAATCAATCAGAATGACTTATTTATTTTTTATCAGAAGGGGTTTTTGGATAGTATGGTAATTTCAGTAATTGAGTCAATTGAAGCTAGACAACCATGGAAAACCTGGAAGCACTGGACGGCCGCTTCGTCCTATTGTGGGACTCCTCAGCAGTGCGCATTCACGACCCCACCTTGAGAGATTCGAGCCCAAGACCTATCACTCTCGCGTGCGAGCGCTTAACCTCCAGACCACTGACCCGACATCCTACGGTGTTAATGTCTAACATCAAACAATCCACGAAATTGAGCGACACATCCACAAAGTGATTGGTATCAAAAACTTCGCTGCAGTTACAACACAGTGATGTTAGCATACTTCTTTGAAAAAAGCATTCACATGATAATAAACTTTAATAGGCTAGCTACGACTTGGAAGACTTAGAGTTAAAGGAGACATAACTCGTTGAGTTACATCATCCAGGTCATTAGAGTTATGTCCAACGACTCATGATTAAGGTGAAAACTAAAGGCTTTACATTTGTTTTTCCCTAGGATTATGAATGTACACTTGTTAAGGGTCTCAAATTTTATTAATTTCTTCAAATTACTGAATATTATTCAGCTTGTACCAATCTGCATCACAGGCTATCTCTTTACCAAATGATTTTATTATATCGTAATAAACTACAAAATTTAACTTTACTGATTAGCTCAATAAAAATTATGTTTGTAAGTAAATGCTAAATTGACCTGCTGTATAATGTACTTTTAATAATTAAAACTATCATTTTTGCACCTTTACTGAAATGCAGAACCAAAGAGCATTAAACGAAAGTTACTTAATAAACCTTCTCTTGTTGACAAATTTAAGCCTAACTATGTCTAAAATGTTTAGACTCAATATCATTCTACTCATGTCCTTGACAAACCAATAAAAGTACTAGTTCGAAATACATTCTAGCTATGGATAATAAGTAATAATAACGAATACAATTTTGGCAGTACTAGATATCAGTCACTAGTAGATCAATTGTGATAGCTCATTTCCGTTTAAACTTTCCTCTGATTATACTGATTGGAAAAACAATGTGAACTTTATGACTAAACAGTTTAGCCCAGAGAATATAAATTCATCGAAAAAAATAGTGTGTGGAGTGTTTGTTATAAATCATGTTAATTTATAATGCTAGTTTTTTAGTTGTATGAAAGACTAAATGACAAGGAGAAATTAGAATGGGGTTATTCACAAAAGCGAAGCTCACGCACATAATTATTGTCTTAGAAGTCTTATTAACGTGCCAACGAATGTATGCAGTTGGGGCATTTATTTAACGAATAAAATTGTAACCCATAGAGTGTCGTTCTATCGTATTCTGCCAGAATAATCAGTGCTCTCATTGTCTTTTTCATCTTTAATGATAAGTGAATTAGAAGCTGTAGTATGACTAAAGCCGAATTCCGTTATGAATCACACCTGAAAGTCTTTGAACTAACGGATTTAAATATTGTCTGGTTTCAGATTTAAATAGACATGATGAACTAACAAAGGCTAGCTGAACTAAAATATAAGTTATCTCATAGTAGATAGTGACGAACTGATTACATACGTTCAACCTCCAGTTAATTCTAGCTAAAATAATCAAATACTTGTTTAACCTACCATAATATTTGAAGTACTTGATTATGAACTATAAGATGTCAATTTTCTTATGTGAGGATTACTGCGACAAAAAAAGTCGACATTTAAAATCTAGCCCAAGAAATCTACAACACAAAAAGCCAAGTTAAGCTAGATGCTAAATTATTAGTTATAACCCTTTACTTAAAATATACAACAGTTAATCGTCGTAAACATATTTGAATAGACTAGACAACCCACTTTTAAAACTTTCTTATAGAAAATATAGTTTATAATATCATAATTCTCCTAATTCAGCTTTTCATATGCAAAATGATTATTGAAGGAATTTAGCCAATAGTGTTAGTTTTCTTTTCTATCCTGTTAGACATTAAACTTTCTTATCTTTAAAAATACATTCATCATATGAGTTTTAAATAAAATATCAAATTCTATATTGATCATTTAATTGTATAAGTCATGATATTATCTAATTATTCACTACTCAGATCAAGATTTATTCACAATAATGATAGTCAGTAATTTTTTTCTCTATTTTCATCAGTTTACATAAGTACCACTCTAGTGAACAGAACACGGGTGGGGACAATTGAATGTATTTAACACAACATAACAGGACTTGTTAATAAAATCTAACAATCATAAAGTAAATGCTTCATTTGCGAAATGTCCACCAATTGTCTCGAAATGACTCAGACTTCATTGTTCTTGCATTTTCATACAAATTGCAT